AGTGCAAAGAAATCCACATGCATGTTCTTTGGGGGTTTGTCTGCGCCGTCATCGATCCTCTGAGAGGGGCTACGTGGGAGCTGGAATCAATGGAGCGGGAAATTAGCCCTTAATTAATAAATATTTGTATTCAGCTCGTCCACCGCTGTAGGAGGAGAAACCTGTGTGCATATTAAACACACACACACACACACACACACACACACACACACACACACACACACACAGGTGTTGGGATTCAGCAGCAGAAAATATGACTTTAAAATGTAGTCAGTCGGGCGACCCATATACGGAGTTGCTGCAGCGGCCGGGTTCCTCTGGCCCTTTGCTGCGTGTCATCCCCTCACTCTCCACCCACCTTTCCTGTCTCTCTACAGCTGTCTCTCTAAAAAACAAAGCCAACAAAAGGCCAAAAAACTGACATAAAAAAATAAATAAAATGTAGTCAGTCACTGAAAACAAATTATATGGAAATGTTTGTAATTCGTAACGTAGTTTGTTCATTAGACATATAGCTTTGGTACAGCACAGCTTTGAGCAAGGGGGAGCGAGCAGGAGAACGACATCACAAAACGGAATATTTGTCAGGCGATGGAAAGATGAGGAAACACAACACAGTGACAGAGGATCTGAAAATGAAGGAAAGAGTAAAGCCAGAGAGACACAACAGGGAGAGAGATGGAAAGTGAATGCGAGAACATGGATCTCCACCTCGAGACTACAGGAAGTTCTTTTTAAATGTGACAAGGCTGAAAAAGAAGCTGTGCACCACGCCTCTCCACACACCACAGGAGAGGAGGAGAGAACGCACCACAGAGACGGGGAACCTGGGAAATAAGTGAGAAATGGCTGGAACGCGGAGGGGTGGGGGGGTGGTGGTGGTGGGAGGGCAGGTAATGGGAGGCATGGATCAGTCCTGCTGGCACTCTGGTGTGATTTAGACAGAAACAGAGAGAGAAAAAAAAATGGATGCAGGAGGTGGAGGAGGTGAAGCAGAGATGGAGGTGGTCGTGGTAATGGCAGATAGTGGGAGGAAATGGGAGAACATGGGGTTAAAGGTAACTGGTTGAAGGGAGCCAAAGGAAGAGGAAAAAAACTGCTGCAGAGACTTTCAGAAGGAAAGATGCACTAATATGAAGATTTTATTATGTAAGCCAAAACTGTCTGACTCCTCATCAGGAGTCATTAATAACACCATCAAGTTTAATTAGAAAAGTCGTTTAAAAACAGGCACACAGAGGGCAACCATTGACGGCACACTGTCATTACAAACTGAGAACAATGAGCTGATAATGATCCTGATCAGCCGGCATCAGTAATCAATACTCCCATTATTAAAGCATCAATCAAACTAATACCGTCAGCCTTCAGCAGTTAGCTAGTGTTTCTGTAGTGGAGACTAAACGTTAACAATGATCCATATCAGCAGTTTGAATCCAACTAAAAGCTCCCTGCACCAAACTCCCTTTAGAAATATCACATTTTAACAATTCCTAACGTGTTCGTAACAACACGTCGGGTCTCAACGGACCGTTCCAATCATTACGATTTCTCACTATAATAAGTGCTGGTTGGTGGATCAGATACACACCGAATATTGGCTGTTAATAAAGCTGCTACTGACGCTACAGAGAGAGACTCTCATTGGCTGTAGCTCGCTGCACGGCTCCCCGACACGTTCAGATATTTTTGGGGGATTTGCGAGGCATCGGTTAGTCCGCGGGTCGCATCATTTAACAGCTCACACAAAGCGATCGTCCTCACAGGAGCGAGCGATTTGTCTCTGATCTGGGGGCGTCCAAAAACAGTGAGTGGAAACTGTGGGCTAAAATCACGTTACAGTGACCAACAGGCGCATGCTGGGTCTGGCTAACAGGCCAATATCATTGATACTACAGATGCTCTGTCAGCAGCACTGGTTAGTTGGTTTTGGAATTGGTTCAAACACACTGAGGATGAATCTAAAATATTATTTGAGTGCACGAAAATACAAACGACGTCAAAGCAGCAGCTGTGTTTGAGGACCTGAGTGAAAATAACCGTGAAGAGAAGCTAATGGCTTTGGCCCGGAGCAGTTTCAGGCGTGTCATTGGACAGAAACTATGATGTGATTTTCATCAGACGATCCGATCTGAGTGGGCTGATAAAGTGATAAACCTCTGAAGAGCCTCTGACACAGGAGGCTGACCGACGGGAGACGTGGCCTCGCTGAGCAGATAATATGATGGACAGGAGTGGACTGTGTGTGTGTGTGTGTGTGTGTGGGCAGTGGAGATGAGAAAAGGGAGAACTGAGGATGGAGGGTTGAAAGCTGCTAAATGTGATCCATCTGAGGTGAGCGACAGCCGGAGGGTGTCTGTTCTGCTGCCACTCATCCTCCTGCCATCAATCTCAGTCTGCTCTTCTGTTTAATGCTGCTTGCTTTGGAAGAAACAAATCTCTGAGCTCATCCAGGGTTGATTGTAGGCAAATGGCAGAGATTGAGCAGGTAGATATTAGAGTGATACACCATTATCTGTAATATGATCAATGGACTGTACTTATATAGCACAAACTACAAACTATGGTACATGTACCGCAGTTGGTACGCGAGCTGAATCTAGTGGTATGAAGAGCAAAACATATAATATCATCATAATACTGAGACTACTTGTACTATGAGATTGCTGAAATGTAAATATTTTTTGCATTTCCTATAGTCATTTTGTTTCAGTATCTGTCACATTACGAGCTAAAATGTGACGGCACGATGGTAAGTGTTAAAAAAAATTGCAATCTTGGCTCCAAATGGAAACTATTGGTCTGCTTATTGAACCGGTTCTGTTCAGGATTCAATATCAGTCAACAATAAATAATCAAGGAAGTTTTCTGCCTGATTATTTAGTGAGATTATTTTTGCCTTTCTGCTACTACAGCTACAATCTGCTCTCTCTGTTCTACCGTGAAATCAGCCCTACTTCACATATGCTTCACTGAGGTTTTATCAAACTGACGGTATGAAAATGCAGATAATCCCCAGGCTCTAAAATGGACTCTGAGGCTATTTACAGTCCAGGTCTTTGCTGTTGCTCCAGATTTGTTTGGTTAAGTGCGAGTGGAGCTCACAGATTTGTCTGTCTCTCTCTGTCCACAGTTTGCTGCCAGGCTCTGCTGCTTGCCAAGTCTGATCCATCTCATTAACAAACACACCTCCCCAGTGACTTCCCTCCTCTCCTCGCTCCCCCACTCTGTCGCCAGGGACGTCCTCCCGTGTGTCCTGGTAATTAGAGCCGGAGGGCCGGATAAAGGGGTGAAGAGGTAAAAGAAGATGAGGCACATGTAAGCTGTTTGTGTAAATCAAAGTCTCATTCAGGAGATGGAGGAAGTATTTGGTCATTACAGCTTGGCGGTGAACAGACAGGCACTGCTGAGCCTAGTTTTGGCTGCATCGTTCATCCTTGTTGTTCTAATACCGATCTCTCCCAGGAATTAATGAGACTGTCTTCAGCCAGGACGCGGAAAAAACTAACAGTTGCTAAATGTAAACTGTTTTGTGTGAACAATGCTCCAAAAAGCGAAGTGAGCTTGCCAATACTATTAAGGGCAGCTGGCTCACGGAACAATTTAGCCATCTATTTCACATATTTTACATTTTACAGCAAATGCAACAGTAAATTTAACTTTCCCAGGAATCCTCCGAGATGCATCAGAGCACCACAGGAAGTCAACCTCCCTCATGGTGTCAGACATCTGAGTCATTAGGGTCAGTGTATTTTGCAGCCAGCCGATTTTAAGTTTTTAAATTAGAAAAACATTTTTTTTTTTTTTTTTAAATAGGTGATTAGAAAACAGGTTTTATTCCGTTCTTGCTTTGAAAATTAAAAAACTAAGAACAGGAAAAATGACTAATTTGCAGTTTTTTGTTTTGAAAAAAAAAACTTTAAAACTACCTTTTATCTTAATTTTATTTGATGTGCTTATAAATGTGTATCGTATTAAACCTTTCTCCTCAAGCCCCTCTCATGCAAGTATTATTGCCCTCTGCTGGCCTGAGGATTTATTTTAGTTTCTTACAGAACTCAAGTGTTTAATTGTCTGTGTGTACAAATACACACTGTGGTTAATGTCTACGCTAAACATTTACGTATTTTGTGCTCAGCAAAACTGATTTACTGTCCCCGAGCTCATCTAGGGTTGATTATAGGCAAATGGCAGAGATTGAGCAGGTAGATATTAGGATGATATACAATTATCTGTATCTGTAATATGATAAATGGACTGTACTATAAAACACCTTTCTTGTCTCCTGACCACTACAAGCCAGTGCTGTAAAGGCAGGGCAGCGGTTAATGCTGTAGATACAGGGCAGAGGCCATTTAAAAAAAAAATCTCCATATCTCTTGAACACAATTTTTTTTTCAGAAGCTGTGCTTGTTCGCAGCAGCAGCAGATGCAGCAATCATATTTTCTTCAGGAAATAGGATTATTTTAGTTTGTTTAGCAACTTGAGCAACTCCAATTTAACCAATTTCCCCCCAGGGATTAATAAAGTATTTGTGATTATTATTGACATAGTTGTGTGTAAATACAGAAGAGAAAGTAGCATGTTACTAGGGCAGTCATTTTTTTATTTGAAATTTTAAAATTTGTTCAAATTGGAAAAACACAACTTCTTTATTAGTGAGTTATACAGGAAGTGTTGTTGCTGTTTCCAGTGTTAATGGACCCTTAACCCTTAAGACTGGTACATACTGGAAAGACTGGTAGGATATGAACTTCCCATCAAACCGTTCCTTTTAAAAATCAGTATGTGTAGGCCTACCCACCCTTCAAGAGAATTCAACCTAATTTCAACTATGAATTCATGATAATATATCATATTCATAATTTATTCTCAAAATAAGACAATTAATAAAAAGTACCAATAAAACCACCACAATTGTAATTTCAGAATTTGTACGAATCAAACAATCAATAGATTAATTGAGTGAATGAAGGAGATGACGATGATGATGATGAGGATGAGGATGATGATGATGATGATGATAAATTATTAATTGCAGTCTGATACAAAATAGTTCAAAATGAGCTCCACTTCAACTAAAATGTATTATATCTTCGTGAGTAAACATTACTTAGATACTTTTATTTAACATTTTCAATGCAGGACCTTTACTTGTAACAGAGTATTTTTACAGTGTGATATTTGTACATTTACTGAAAAGTAAAATTGAATTCTTCGTTCACAACGTATTCTGCCTTTGGAAGGAATTTTCCACAGAACAACTGTTGTGGATTTGACTCCTGTTTATGACTACTGTCACTTACGATACAATGAAAAGCTTCTTTAACAATTTACTTTGATTGGAGAGTTGGCTCAGAAGGACAACTTATAAGACATCGTAATATAAACAGAAGGAAAGTTTCCAGAGTGCTCAGAAGTTTAAGCGTAATGAAGCTAAAAGGTTTAAAAAAGAAGGTCCAAAGCACTATTCTGACTGATGTTAAATGCCTTTATTCAGATGGCTACTTCATGGTGATTCTAAAAACATATGCTCATACATGTTAACATTGAGCTGGGTAACAACCCATGTGTAACAGTACTTATCCTTCTTCATGGTGTAGTCCTCAGAACACCGCCCCCGAGATGATTGCAAACAGGTGAAAATTGCAAACACCTGAACAAGAAGCCAAGAGAGACTCTCAAACCTCCAGAGAACAAACAGACACTGAGGAACCAGACCATTCAAACCCAAATCCGGGATAAACAGGTTCAGTGAATGTGGTGTTGAAGGTGTGGAGGTGGATCAGTGTGCCAGAGCAGACTCTGTAGAAGGACAGAGTGCCAGCAGGACAGTCCACATACACTGCGACTCTGTTAGGGACAGAATCATAGTCAGAGTTGGTGGAGGAGGAGGAAAAGGGAATGGAGATGGATGTTCTTCTGTTACTGTAACAGACAAAATAACCACTGGCCTCAGAGCAGTCCAGACTCCAGGACTTATCATTCCTACCAAACACACAGTCAGGACAGTTTCCTTTCCTGCTGATTCCTCTGTAACTCACTGATATATAAACACTTCCTCTCCAATCGACCTCCCAGTAACAGCGACCAGTCAGACCATTTCTACACAGCAGCTGAGGCCAGTCAAATCTGTCTGGATGATCAGGATATGACTGATCCTCTTTCACTCGTGTCACCTTCCTGTTGTTGTCAGACAGTTTGAGCTCTCTGTTTACTGTGTTTGTGTCCAGTTCCACTTCACAGACATCTGATGGAGAGAACAAGACACAATACAGCTGCAGGTTATCATCTATCATCTACTTTACTGACAATTCCCATCATACAAATGTACAATTATTTCTGTTTGTCACACGTTGTTCAAAGCAATAACAGTTATGACAAGGCACAAACCTACAGTAGTATCCAAAGTGGTGATTCATTTGAATATGGAGAAACTGTCTGTATCCAGAAGATTACAGACATCCTATTTACTGGAGTTTCCATTGCAGTAGAACATTATGGGATGTAATGATTTTTCCTCTGTTGTGCATTAGAGGGTTTTGGCCTCCAAGTCCTGGATATAATCCATTGGATCTTTCCGGATACAGCACAAAGCAACTCTGAACCATCGGCTTTCTGAACCTGTTATTACCTCCACCAAAGAGCTCACATTTAGCACAAAGTTCAGACCTTTTTGCATCAGACAGTTTTAGATTTGATGTTCAAAGTTTCGTGACAGTCTTTTTTATCCAGTCAGAGGGCTGTGGGTCCACCAACTGTCTTACAACAAATGTACACATGGTTTTGTTTTATGAATCTCAATCATTGTTGAAATGGAGCCTCAAGAGCCAGCAACTGGTAGCTTCTTCAAACTTTCTACATTTTTGTTTTAATCTGTATTCAAATTTAATCAGACATCAAACATCGTTTGACCACTTAATTGGCTACCAATGCAAGGAGTTCATCAGCATCATGTTGCATCCAAGACTCTCCCAGAGACTAACTAATCCCAGGAGAGAGGCTACAAATCTCTTGGTCAATTTTTAAGGAAAGCTTAGAAAAGCTGCTCTGAAATGAGGCATTTTAGGTCCAATCCAAAAAAATCTAAAATAAAATTATGGAGGGACTCAGCTTTACTGGCAGTAAAGAAGCTAAATCCTGATGAAATTCTTCATCAGTCAAGGAACTGTGTAGCACTTTACCAAAACACACTCACGTTTGTTGATACCAGGTCTCAGTCTCTGCAGTCCACCATGGTCCAGTCTGGAAGAAACAAATTCAGAATCAATCCTTAATTCATACCCACAATAACACATGAACAAAGGCCCCTTTTGGGTGAAAGAAGCACTGTATTGCCTCAAAGCCGCTGCATCATATTTTACATATCTGTCAATTAAAAAAGACTGTTTAAGATTTCCATTACTTCTCTAAAGAGTGAAAGACAGTCAACAAGGAAATCTGTGGCTTCAGGCCGTCTGTAAAGAGGATAAAAATGAAACAGTGGGAGCCTGCCCATCTCTAAGTGTCTGTGGCAAACACTTCATCACAGGTTAGTTAATGATGTTACAATCGGCACATACGTCATTTATTCAATAACTGTCGATCAAAGAGAATCAGAAAAGAGTAAGTGACGGTTGTATCAAACACCCCCTTTTAGAATTGACTATGGTTTGGTAGTCTGTCCACTCAAGGAGCAGAGGGACTTTTGACCTCAATAATTCACATAAATTGAGCTGACCTACCTTCTAATAATGAACCTTGTTACGACAAAGTCTAAACGTAGGAAGTGGGGCTACAACCGACCTGTTTTCTACTTCTCTTGGCTCATAGCCGTTTGTGTTAATTAATCAACCTTTTACTATCAAAATAGAGATAGCGATAGAGATTTATAGTAAGGTCACATTGGACAGCACCAAAACAACAAAATTAAGTGTCTTAGTGACAGTGCATTTCCAGATAATGTATTTCTGTCTTTTCTAAGGTATGTGTATGTGTTAGGTGTTGAGTGCCCTTTCTGTCTGCCTCCATCAAAGTGGATGAACCTATTTCTTTAATTTTTCTATATAACAGGCCATAGGATTTGGGCTCATAATAGCTGAAAATCAATGTGGTATTTTTATTTTAGGCTGTTAAATCAGAACGAGGCCTCAGAATTTACATTAACCACAAGACATATTATATGGTAGATTAATGTTTTAGATGGGGTGGTAAATGTATACAGTTTGTTTAGGGGGGATGTTATGGTAGGGGGATGTCTGATAAGAATCTGGTCACAGTCACAGGGTCAGATCAAAGGACCGTTTGTGTTGAAGACCTAAAACCTTTACATGCAATTTACAGCAGTATGTTATGTTACACGATACCAGAAGTGTTTTTGGTTGGATGTACTGAAAGGTTTATAAGGGAGAGCATTCTGGAAGTCAGGAGGATTCATCACACTGGGTTCGTAATTCTTCAGAGAACTGGCAACTCTCAATATTGTGGAAGAATTTCTCCTACATTTTGGCGACGAGAATGGGATGGACGTGCTGGTGATCAACGCCTGGGTCTAGACAGAAGGACAGGATCCCGCCTGATGTCAGACATGCATTGGAAAAGTGAGTACAGTGTTTGGAATCAATTAAAGTGTAAAACCCTAGGTAGACTATTGCATTTTTCCTGTTTGGTGGTGACTGTCTAGTTTGTTTCCAAGTTGGAACTTGTGTAGGTCCCAGTGTGGTACTGGGAGCCCGTTTCCATTTAATTTCTGAGGGTGTTGGAAATCTGTTTTCATGTCTCAAGGATACAAAAAAGAGAAAAAAAAGGTATAACAGAAAATGTTAAAAAGGCAAGAGACAAATCTAAGAAATGAATGCACACTAATGAATGGCAAGCTAATTGTAACTGCATAAAGATAATGGTGGCCCTTATTGAGGATTTGGGAAGTTAGAAGAAAATATCCCAAAACAAAAGTCCCATCATCAACAAGAATGGCATATGAGTGTGATAAAAAAGTAAACTTTGTGGTGACTCAGTGTCTGGTATACATTGTGTATACTACGAGGGTGTGTTGCTCGGAACCTATGTGTCCAATAAGCCACCTGGCTGAACTGAAATTCCCAAAGGTAGTGTGTATGATAAGATCCGACCATACATTAGTATGAAAAGGTCAGTGAGTTTTGTGTGACTGATAAGACCATTGAAGTTCAAAGCAATTACAAGTAGTAATATTAAAATCCTTACTTTACCCTCTTACAGGCGTTGAAATTTCAGAAAAATGGGAAAACAATGTGGTTGAGGTTGTGTTGTCTATCATAGGTACACGTAGAACAAATTGTGTAAAGATTGTGTAGAGATCTACCTAAGCAACTCCAGGAAGACTTATCAATCTCTCTCTCTGAATTCTGCAACAGTTACTGGTAAAGGGCAGGGACAAACTAACTTAGCTTCTCCCAGGCAATCTCTTGTCTTTCTTTGTAGACTCAGGAGCAGATGTCTCACTAGTCAAAGCAGTTCTCTCAATAGTATCCGATGTAGCAAGGCCATGTAGCAAGTTTTGATTTTGGGAAATATAGAGTGCAACTCTACATTAGACCATGTAAAGGAATAGATCAACGTTTTGCAATCAGTGCACTATCTTGGCCATATAATCCGGATCATTAAAATTGGGTCCGGACCGCATCCAGTCAATTGTGGATATTCTAAAAAACGCGTATTAAAAACAAATTAATGATGTCATACAGGGGTTTTCATGATATCATAAATGGGGAAGACTTTTGACCATTACTGACTTTTTGACTTGGACTCCTGAGGCAACAACAGCTTGTAATGACTTAAAAAAAAGAGTTTAACCTAGCTCCCCACAGCTAGGACCCTTAGACCTTATTGTATCCTCTAATTTCTATGCCCGCTTTCACCCAAAAGGGGGTTGCGGGGTGACACAAGGGCAAAATACCCAGATTGGCTGCTCATATCTATACCTGAGAGTGTCCAGTCTCCAGTGTGGATCCTTCAGTCCAGCAGACAGACGCTTCACACCTGAGTCTCCCGGATGGTTGTAGCTCAGGTCCAGCTCTCTCAGATGGGAGGGGTTGGAGCTCAGAGATGAGGCCAGAGAAGTACAGCCTTCCTTTGTGATCATACAGCCTGAAAGACTAAAGACACACACACACACACACACACACACACACACACACACACACACACACACACACACACACACACACACACACACACACACACACACACTGGTGTCACATTTAATATACAATCATAAAAAATGACTAAAAACTTCAATATGTTACTTATTGAATGTCCCTTTACAGCTGAATCTTTACCTGAGAGTTTCCAATTTACAGTGTGGACTCGCCAGTCCAGCAGACAGCAGCTTCAGTCCTGAATCCCGCAGGTTGTTGCCACTCAGGTCCAGCTCTCTCAGACTAGAGGACTGGGAGCTGAGAACTGAGGACAGAGCTTCACAGCTTCTCTCTGAGAGGTTACAGCTACTCATCCTGAATTATAAATACAAAAGAAAACTCTTAAAGACATTTGTTTTTTAATGTTATACAACTATTTTCTAGTTCTCGCTGGCTGAGACCAAAGACAATAAAGTTTATCCTTTTCTAGTTTTTGTCTGTGTAAAGAATAATCAACATTTAATCTAGATTATGTGTGCGCGTACACAGCTTTGTTGGAGGCTTTGACCACTGGCAGCAGCCTCAGAAGAGCCTCCTCTGAAGCAGAGTATTTCTTCAGGTCAAACACGTCCAGATCTTTTTCTGATGACAGTAAGATGAAGACCAGAGCTGACCACTGAGCAGGAGACAGTTTATCTGAGGAGAGACTTCCTGGTCTCATGTACTTTTGGATCTGATCCACTAGAGAATGATCATTCAGTTCATTCAAACAGTGGAACAGATTGATGCTTTTCTCTGCAGACGGATTCTCACTGATCTTTATCTTGATGTACTCAACTGTTTTCTTGGTGGTCTGTGAGCTACTTTCTGTCTGTGTCAGCAGACCTCGTAGATGTTTCTGATTGGTCTGCAGTGAAAGACCCAGGAGGAAGCGGAGGAACAAGTCCAAGTTTCCGTTTCTACTATCTAAGGCCTTGTCCACAGCACTCTGGTAGAAACGTGTTGATTTACCTCCAAACACTTTGGACCGTGGTGTTGACAGCATATTGACATCAGCGTTAATGAATGACAGATGGACATGAAGAGCAGCCAGAAACTCCTGAACACTCAGATGGACGAAGCAGAAGACCTTGTCCTGGTACAGTCCACTCTCCTCTATAAAGATCTGTGTGAACACTCCTGAGTACACTGAGGCTGCTCTGATATCGATGCCACACTCTGTCAGGTCTGATTCATAGAAGATCAGGTTGCCTTTCTGAAGCTGCTCAAAAGCCAGTTTTCCCAGAGACTCAATCATCTTCCTGCTCTCTGGACTCCAGTGTGGATCTGTCTCGGCTCCTCCATCATACTTGATCTTCTTCAGTTTGGTCTGAACTACCAGGAAGTGGATGTACATCTCAGTCAGGGTCTTGGGCAGCTCTCCTCTCTTCCTGGTCTTCAACCCATCCTCCAGAACTGTAGCAGTGATCCAGCAGAAGACTGGGATGTGGCACATGATGTGGAGGCTTCGTGATGTTTTGATGTGGGAGATGACTCTGCTGGTCTGTTCTTCATCTCTGAACCTCTTCCTGAAGTACTCCTCCTTCTGTGGGTCAGTGAACCCTCTGACCTCTGTCATCATGTCAACACACTCAGGAGGGATCTGATTGGCTGCTGCAGGTCTTGTGGTTATCCAGAGGCGAGCAGAGGGAAACAGTTTCCCCCTGATGAGGTTTGTCAGCAGCACATCCACTGAGGTGGACTCTCTAACATCAGTCAGGATCTTAGTGTTATGGAAGTCCAGAGGAAGTCGACACTCATCCAGACCATCAAAGATGAACACAACCTGGAATTCTTCAAACCTGCAGATTCCTGCTTCTTTGGTCTCAGTAAAGAAGTGATGAACAAGTTCCACCAAGCTGAACTTTTTCTGTTTCAGCACATTCAGCTCTCTGAAAGTGAATGGAAATGTGAACTGTATGTCCTGGTTGGCTTTGTCTTCAGCCCAGTCCAGAGTGAACTTTTGTGTTAAGACTGTTTTCCCAATGCCAGCCACTCCCTTTGTCATCACTGTTCTGATTGGTTCATCTCTTCCAGGTGAGGCTTTAAAGAGGTCTTCTTGTCTGATTGTTGTTTCTGGTCTGTGTGGTTTCCTGGATGCTGTTTCAATGTGTCTGACCTCATGTTCATCATTGACCTCTGCAGTCCCTCCCTCTGTGATGTAGAGCTCTGTGTAGATCTGGTTCAGAAGGGTTGGGTTTCCTGCTTTAGCAATCCCCTCAAACACACACTGGAACTTCTTCTTCAGGTTAGACCTGAGTTTACGTCGGCACACTGCAGCTTGAGTTCCTGAATAAAGAAACAACAAATGGAATCAGTGAGTGGATCCTACAGAAAATCAGAGAATCTGAACATTAAGTCTGGCTTTATAGATTTTCCTCCTCCGTCAGTTTTATTCAGCTTATCAGTGGAGGACAAACAGCCTCTGTTGTGAAACATATTTACAGCAGAGTTTAGAAATGTTAATCTCTCCCGTGTTGCCTCCATTTCCTCTTTCCATCATGTTCAATCTGTTAAAATCCTCTTACTGCTCTGCAGACAGTCAGCCAGCTCCTCCTGCTTCATTCTCCTCAGGAAGTGCACTGTGATCTTCAGAAATGCCTCCCTGCTGCTCCTCCTCTGCTCTTCATCCTCACCATGCAACAATTTCTCATCCTCATCCTGACTGTCTAAGCATTGTGGGTAATCTGTATTCAGAACCCTCTGGACTCTCTTCAGCTCGTTCTTCACAAAAGTGACGATGTTCTCCTCCAGCAGCTGGAACAGAAAGATAAAGTGAACATTTCATTTAAACTGGTAGAACACAACATGTGATTAATCTGTCAGTCTGAAGGCCTGCTGGTCTGAATAGAGACTGACGTTTAACCAGTGGTTGATGTAAAAGGTGTGTTAATACATGTACTCACCATAAATATGGAGTTCAGGTCTGTTTGATGCTGCTGGGCAGACTGATCACTGTGAACCCCTGAGCTCTCCTGCTGAACTCTGTGGAGAAAACATCAAGTTTAAGACATTTAAAACTCCAATAACTAACGCACTTATGAAAGAAGCTTTTTCATGATGATGCAGGACAAACCAATCCCTCCTTTTCAACCCTGCGGATGTCGTTGAAGCCTGATCCAAGCCATCTCTCAGGGGAAACTCATTTCAGCCACTTATATTTGCAATCTCATTCTTTCACTCACTACCCAAAACTCACAGTCATAGGTGAGGGTTGGAGCGTGGATCGACTTGTAAATCGGTAAATCAAAAGCTTTGCCTTCCGGCCTTTTTCACCACAACAGTCTGGTACAGTGGCTTAGTGGTTAGCACTGTTAGCCTCCCAACAAGAAGTCCGTTCCTGGGTAATTATATGCCTCAATTTGTAACCGGTTCTCAATTCCCATCCTTAATCCAGATTATCAAAAACCTATTCAGTACAATGACTTAATGACAGCTGTCTATGGATCTGCACAGGCAGCTAAATTCCTGATACCATTACACAGACATCACTGATGGTTGACGTGGCCCAACTTTCACAACACTGTCAGAGGAAGATCAGGCCCACAAGAAAGAGGTCCAAATATCAGGAGATGGTAGCAGTGTTAGAAGGAGTTTCCTGTGTACCCATAGAGGTAAGATGTAGAGGCTTTGCTGGCTGCAGAGCATTCATGTGCATACTGCTGAGCAACATGGAAAGCAAAGAGGTGAGTTGCACCACATAAAAACCTTTCAGACACTGACTGACAGTTATTTCTTCACAGCTGAGAGACAGTGTCCCCTCTCCTCTACTATGAACTGAGAGCAGCCAACATCCATCACAAGTCCCCTGTGAAGTGCACAAACCAAGCTTTGGCCAAGACACTCAGGTGGTAGAGTGGGTGGTCTATTAATCATAGGGTTTGATATTCGATCCCTGGATTCTTGTGTTGACAAGTGTGTCTTTAAGCAAAGGGAGGCACAGTGTAAGACTTTTAAAACTACTGCCCTAGACCATCATGAGATGCCAACCAACGTCATCCTTGATTACGATGATAGGTGCAACCGCCCTCACCCACAGCTCAGTATTGGAAGCAACCCATTACCCACAATCACTTCCAAGTCAAATCTGTACCCGACCCATTGATATAAGAACCACGACCCGATCCATTACCCATGCTACACACAAAGCCATACTTTTACTTGTGCAATTAGAAGTATAAGTAGAAACATGACTTCAGATCATAATTAACTTTTCAGCTGAATCAATCAACAGTTTCGAACAATGTGTGTAAGCATCCTTGTCCACCTCCCTTGGAAATTGCGTTATTGAAAAAATCCTGGTGGCTGATTAGGCTTGATAACATTAGTTGATGTAGATATTTAAAAATAGCCCGCACACTCATTTTCACTTCTGATTTCTCCAGAAAAAACAACACCTTTTTTCTTCTCACATGCTGCCCATCTGCATTCAGTTCATTTTTACCCATGGCTGGACCCATATGTAACCCACTGGATGTGCTGCAGCCTCCCTACACATCTAGAGACTCTGCATTGTGTTTATGGTTGTGATAGGGTGTTTGCGTGGGGAGAGAAGAGAAGCACTGGAGACAGGAGTACTGGATTGTGGCTGAGACCTGGAGACACTTTATTGGCACACATTGACAGCTTTCACCTCTGGTCCTCTACACTGGCTGCTGGCTCCGTCACCCTTACAGGACAATGAATGAAAATATTTTTTATAGTTTTTCTTAAAAACTATATTCTAGTGCAAAAAAACAAATATATTGTGTCAAAATAATACTCTACAACTAAAAAATTCTAAATTACAGGAAGTGTAAATTAAATAAGGCACTCTATAAACATATGACTTCACAAAAATAAATTAAATGACATAAAACAGCAAACTGAAAGAATAATGCTTAATCCTGCAATATTTCCACTGAACAGGTGCTCTACTCATGCACAGCAAGCTAGCCAACATTACAGCCAAAGTTTTCATACAAAATACAAGTGTTCGCTTCTCAAACCCACACCGAAATGTAAACTAACATATAAATTAACACATCAGATGAATATAATGAAAGGTGATGGCTATGGGGAAGGAGCCGTTTCCAAACCTACTGGTCCAGAATGGAGAGGCCTGTAGCACCTCCAAGAGGGGTGAAGGGTAAACAGTCTTTGGCCAACTTCAATAGTGGAGTGCGGTAATGATAAGACTACAGCTAAATAATGTCCTGTCTTGGTACCTGTTTGTAAAAATCACTTGCACTCTTTCTACTCCTGCCTCCTGACTGTGCTGGTGAGCTGTGGGGCACATGAACTGGGACAATTGGGGGACCAGTCAGCATCTCAACAAAAAGACTCAGTGTTTCCAGTCTGTGGCTCCAGAACAAGTGATGCAGGGGCTCCATGACTCTTCTGGTGGTATTGTAATCTTGGGAAAAAATTCCAAATTGAGTGTGGAAAATTGAATGAGATTTTGTTAGTGGGTTTATTTTAAATAGCAGTAGAAATTGCTATCACAATGCAGGAGAAAACTCTGCTGAGTCTCCTGAGCCTTGATACTCTGGGATGCCTTTGATTTGCATGCACAGAATTTAATGTATGTGGGTGTTTGGTAGCTTAGCCTAGCTTTGTGGGTTTCTGCTAATTACTTTTTTTTACATTTTTAAGTATTATTTTATCCCTCGTATTGACAGTTTTTAGAAGAACATTTGATAATTCATGCTGCTGTTTTGTTATAAGACCTGTGTTGTGTGTAATGAGAACACTTATTTTAACATACTGAGTTTATTGTAGTGGGGTTTTTTTATTGCATGTTTTAGGATTAAAAGGATTTCTTAGTTTAGTTTTATTTGAATGTTGTTTTATCTAGAATAAAAATGTAGTTTTTTTTAATTGCATGTTTCCCTTCAGGGAAAGTGTCTGGGTACACTTGAACTACCTACAACAGGCTATCAAGCTCGGGTCCAAGAGGTGGTTCTTCTTCTCAGGAGAGTCGGATAGTAACAAGCTTCAGTTTTGAATTTGTACCTTCCATCAGTTTGTCTGACTTTAAACTCATCAAAGCGATCCACAGACTGGTCACTCTTCATCGACACACAGCTGGGTTCAGGAGCGTCTGGTCTCCGCTGCTGCATCCTGATACAAACAATTAAGAGTTGAAAATTGTTAAGAAAAAAACTGGTTTGTTTTAATCTGGTTGTTTTAAGTCATGTTCGTGGAGCAAATGAGGTCTATGAAACAGAGCATTTTATTATAGTTCCTTGTAAAACTTCAGAAATAAATTGTAAAAATGTGTGTGGTGTGTTGTCGGCTCTTCCTCACCCAAAGTATAAATTGTGCTATTTTTGTGAAAGGGCTTGTGCCTGACACAGATGTGTTCAGCAGTATTCACCACCCTCTGCTATTAATGCTGAGCTCAGTGTTATGTCCTTTGAACAAGCAGGTTCAATATTTGAAGTTAGCTTAACACAGACACATCTACATCAGCCGCTGCTCTGAATATTGAAACAATATATTGTTCAGATCCACAGACTATGAAGCTCTGGACCATGATTCTTCTTCTCAGGAGAATCATATAGTAACAAACTTCAGTTTTATATTCTTACCTTCTATCAGCAGGTTTTCTGACTTTAAACTCATCAAAGCGATCCACAGACTGGTCACTCTTCATCGACACACAGCTGGGTTCAGGAGCGTCTGGTCTCCGCTGCTGCATCCTGATACAAACAATTAAGAGTTGAAAATTGTTAAGAAAAAAACATTATTGATAAAGATTAAAAAATTGTCTAAAAGTGAAGAAAATTGGTTTGACCAGATTCTCACTAGTTAAATCCATTCACACAAGTGGGGCACTGACTTATAAAGGGGTGGCATGAAGTATGGGTATCAGCTTTGCAGTCATTACCAATTTATGCAGTTCCACTGTTTATGGACCCCGGTCTGCAGAAATATTCAAATACACTAAAATAACACATTCCCTCAGTGGTGGAAAAAACTAGTGTAGTTTCAGGGAAAGTGTCTGGGTACACTTGAACTACCTACAACAGGCTATCAAGCTCTGGTCCAAGAGGTGGTTCTTCTTCTCAGGAGAGTCGGATAGTAACAAGCTTCAGTTTTGAATTTGTACCTTCCATCAGTTTGTCTGACTTTAAACTCATCAAAGCGATCCACAGACTGGTCACTCTTCATCGACACACAGCTGGGTTCAGGAGCATCTGGTCTCTGCATCCTGATACAAACAAACAACTGACTAATGAAAGAGTTTAAACTTAGATAGAAAATCAGTAAGAAGACAGTGGATGAGTAACGTAATGTAATGTAATCTGATTAAAGATGCTGTCTCATATTAGTTGATTGATTAATCATTTGTTGGGTCTTTGTTATCTAATAACCATAGCAGAGTCCACACCTGCTGGGAGAGGCTCAGCTGCTGAGTTCACATCCAGTCACAGAGACTTTGTAGCTTCAGCTGTAGAGGAAACACAGATAGAAGATGCTGCTGATTGTCCTTCATCAGTCCATTTGATGTGAGGATGCTGTCATTTCATCATCACTTCACTGTCAGAGTCCACAAACATCAGGGACGCCACATCAGATCTACCTCCTACTGACATCATCATGGCCCCCATTACACACAGCCAGGAGACTTCATATGGAGAGATAGACTGCGGCTCAGAGAACAAGCTGCTGCTCAACGTCAGCAACACTAAGGAGACGGGAGGTGAAAACATGAGTCTGTCTACTCCAAAGGAGCTGAGGTGGGACAGGTGAACAGCTACTCTTCTCTGTTGCTTTGTCAATAAGATCTCTCCAATCTCCACTCATATTATAAGCATCTCACACAATAATTCAACGGGAGCACCGCCTCCAAAATGAAGTTGAATCAACACTTCTTGGAAACAGTCAGAGCACAAACTCAACATTACACCTTGATTCCACCAGGCACAACGCTGTTTTGTTCGGTCCTCGATAATGTTGGTTTGGTCATTACGCTTTAGTTCCATCAACTGCGTCACAGCCCGAACTTGATGCCCGGTGGAATCAAGCAGTTAGAGCTGGGTAATAAGCAAATCTATTGCACACCTTTTAACACTGGGGACACCGTGAATGCAGCATTTTCATTTGTCATGTAATTTGCAAAGGAGTAAGGCTCCTGGAGCTTTTTTAGAAAAGACCAACTCGATACAAGCGTCATGGCCTATGACACTTCCCTCTTACTCATAGGCTTCTGACAGCAGCTGAGAGTCATTCAACACTGAAACTTACCAAACCTTTAACAGGAAGAAAAGATCTGGAGGAGTATAAGAAATAATAACCAGAGAGAGTTTGACAAAACATATCTACTGAGCAGCAGTTACAGCATTTTACGACACACATAACAAAACTTGTTGTTTGTCTATAATAAGGACTGTTAATGTCTAAAACTGCAGCCCAATCAACACCTAACAAGGTCCTAAATCATACCTATAGATATCAACGGTAGGCAATTTTTTAATTTTTAACCGGATGGATGGGACTTATAGCGGGTTTAAAGGAACCCGCTATATGAACTATAGTTCAGTGAATATTATGGATCAAATATCTAACTGACAGAAGGGTGAGAAAAAGAGAGAAAAGAGCACAATTACAGTGCGGCTCCTGGAGCACCTTAGAAAAGATGAACTTAATGCAAGCGTCGTAGCCAATGACACTTACCTATTACTCAAAGGCTACAGACAGCCTTGCCAACGATTGATTCAAATATTTGTCGGAATTTAGCACACCCAGCTTGAAACCGGGACAATCCTGGCACCTTTTTGGGTCCAGTTCAGGCCTTGTTCAAATGAATTTCTTACTTTGAATTTGTCTGCACTTCCTTCCTTCTTTGTGCTGCTATAACACTGGAATTTGCCCTCTGAACATCAATAAAGTTTTCTTTTATCTTTTGTGTAAAGGATTTACTACAGGACTGTTGGATCAGACTGCAGCACTTTGAACCTGATGGACCTTATAAAGTAACAAAACTCTGATTTATTTCACATCTTTGATTCTATTGTAAATCTACTGAAATGTTTGGTTTGTGTTTATTGATTGAATGTTTCTAAATGTGTTCATAGAGGAGCTCCAGCTCTTCATTGTGCAGTCCCGTGTTGAACTTTAAGCTCAAACACAAAACCTCTTTAAAAGAATCAGGACCTTGAATTCATTGAAATACGAACATTGAATGAAAGACTTTGATTAAAAACAGAAATTCTAGCATGGTTGATATCAAGTGTCTGTGTCACATGATCTGCAAACAACACTGTAAAAAAGAAAATCTATACATTTACATTTTTCTATATTTTTTAAAAACATAAAAACACAGTTTAATTTATTGAATATCTGCGAAAACATTTGCAAATGTACTTTACTGTTAATACGTTTCTAAAATTATCTAAAATTAGTGACAACAGTAAAGTAAAAGATCATTTTATTTCAGATTAAAATAAAAAATAAAATAATAACAGCACTCTTCTGTAAATGTAAGCCTGATTATTTGTATTATAGCAGTGTTCGCCTGTATTTATAGCTCATTTAATTGTTTTTACGGTGTAAATATCTATCTAATATGATGATCAATAATAAAAAAAAGTCATTGCATCTCTATATAAAACTAGCTTAGCTGATCCTGAGCACGGCGGCTAACTGTTAGCATGGAGCTCAGCTCTTGTTGACACAAACAGCAGCTTTTAATACACATCTGGAAAACTAACAGTGAGCTCAGAGAGCAGCTGAGAGTCATTCAATACTGAAAACTGTAACTTACCAAACCTTGAACCTGGAGAAATGATCTGCAGCACAACGAGGGAGGAAAGAAATAATAACCAGAGAGAGTTTGACTTTGACTCTATTATCAAAACACGTCTATACTGAGCACCAGTTACAACTCTTTACAACACTAACGTATTCTTGTCTCACCTCCTAACCCACCCACCCACCCACCCACACACACACACACACATAACCACAAGAGTGCTTATTATAGACAGACAACAAGTTTACTTTCAAACTACTTCTCTCTACACCTAACAAGGCCATAAACGATACCTGTCGATATCAACAGTAGGTGATGTGTTAATTTTTAACAGTGTGGATGGCCTAGTGAGCACCCAGTGATAAGAAGACCAGTTCTTTAAAGTAGCAAAGGGCAGAATTACAAATCCATCTGCTACTTCAGCACCATGAACTCATCAATGCACTGACATTTCAGAGCCGTGGCCGGGGCCGTAGATTCTTACTTGCATAAACCTCAGTCAGATAATCAGTGAGTCAGGAACACTGGATTAACATATCCAACCAAACAACCCCTCTGACCATGGACTCTCTCTGCTGAGACCTTCCTGCACTTTACTTCCAACTTAATCCACTACTGTATTTAACTTTATTCATGTCATTATTTCAACCTAGTCTCACTCACTCTTACTCACTTGTCAAATGCTGCAGGTTGCTCAATGGTCCTCTGCTTCAATATATGACATATGGGGGTTTCCCTGTAGCATAATTCAGGTTACACTTTCAAAATAAAGTGTGTGTGGTTATTGTGAAATGGTCACAGTTTTGTTTAGGGAAAGATTGTAAGTTATGAAATTCAGTTTGTTTGGGCCATCCATCCACCCCACTGCCCCCATATGTGGACTTTTTTGCTCTTTTACTTTGATGGCGGGGCAGGGAAACCTTCTCCTTCCAGAACATTTTCCAGGAGACTTCTTGACAGTACAGGACAGCACTTGCACACAGACGGTCATATAATTTGCCGGTAACTCGTCGTAGTTGGGCAGCGTTTATTGGACACTTCCTGTTAGCTTACTTTTGTGCTCTTCTCACCACAGCTGATTTTTCATATTCATATATTTTTTCATTTTTGAATCAGTTTACTACAATTCTAGTTCAAGTCATTTATCAGAATTGAGTTTATTTTACAGAAAATGAAACCTCTAGAAAGTGAAAGTGTTTGTTGCATGTACAGTTAACATCGCTGTGTATGGATTGATCAACCACAACAACAAATTTGATCATTTATAGACTGTATGCATGTAGATTCGACTGTCTACGCCATTTCCACTGAGCTTCCTTGAGAGTTCTGTTCAAGGCTACAGAAAAGATTGATGCAAGTCCGCTTCATGTATGGTAACACTTAAGACTTAGGTGGGTGATATGAATTATTTCCAGGATATTTGGTCATTTCAATCAATTTCCAGGTGTTTCCATGACTGGAAAACTAGTGCATCCAGAAATGACACTAGAGGGATAAGCAGAGGGCCACTGACCAAGCAACACGTTTTGACTACTTGGGGGAGATTTTATTTCCCTGGAGACATGACTGCTCATAAAATCAACTCCTGAAGGTTTCAGCCTGAAGACTTTAAATGTCCTGACGTTCAGGACGGACTGAATGGAAAACAAGTGGATAGAAGACAGTGAGCTGATATGTTTTGTCAAGAAGAAAGTTTGCAGAGAGCAGAAGGTCTGACAGAAGAATAAAAAAACACTTGAAGAAAACAAAGGTGTCAGACAGGAAATAGCAAAGGCTACTTCTGTTTTGGAAGCTGGGATCACCTGTAGAAGTTCAGAGAAACAGGAGAAAAGGTGTTGAAGCGTAAAAATGATGCTTTAAAAGCAGGAGAAAAACATTGTTGTTTGAGAGAGAAGTAGAGCGAGTCCATCAGCTGTCAGTGAAAGTGAAACTGTTTCACACTCAAATGTGCAACTTGATATTGAGCCTAAACATAGATACAAACTCCATTAACCATAAAGCATTCAAGCAGTGTGATCCTCTGTGCAGTGTCCGTGGGGAAAATTGGTTTAATCTGCTCGTTTTCTGCTCCTCTTCTACTACAGTTTATAATCTATACACCTGTACTATACTGCCATCTGCTGGATAGAAAACAAGGTGGCAGACAGATGCAGGAAATTCCTATCAACAATAATAATATAATAATAAATGTCCTGTTTTTCCTCTTTTTCTGATCCCTTTGCCCTCTGATCTTCTTATTCCTTTTCTTTCCTCTCCTATTTTGCTCGCTTATGTATTGTGGTATCTTTCCATGCACATGTGCTCAGATTTTGAGATGTCTGTCTGAGATGTCTTGTGAAAGTGGAAATTCCGTTGTAGTGCTCAAAGTAAATATAAAGCTTGTTTTAAAAGCTCAGCTCGGCAGCTGATTGAGTGCACCTGGATTTTGGGGCCAATCACAGAAGCATCACTAGAAGAGCTACGGAGGGTAGTGGGTGTAAACCTAAGTAACCTCAGTTATCATCCTCTTTGAAATGAAGCCAGACTTTACTTATCTAGAGCTTGATGTTTCCTTAGATACATTTTTTCTGTTAATCATATTTGATCGCCCGGTTGTTTTTCCCTGGCGCACGTTGCAGAGGTGTTTTTGAAGCAGCGCCGCTGTAGCAATGTGTCTCTGTGAGATCGGCCCTTGTGTTGCTTTGTTTAACTAATGTTTTAAATAAATCTCTTGCATGGACTCCCTACTTGTCACATTTCCTGAGGCATTCTGTTACAAATGGGGGCTCGTCCGGGATTTGATTCTGTGGTTCGTGCCAAAGAAAAAGGCTGTCTGACAGCGTGGTTACGTGGTGGAAATATTCTTAATATAGCATACACTTATATTGGCCACTGTTTGCTTCTTCAAACTGGGGGCATGCTGACCGCCATCTACTGTAGGGAACTCACTGACTATAGATATGTACATACAGCCCCACTTCAAAATACCAGAAAGTATCCCTTTAACATTGAGAAATTGTATATATGATATTTTTCACCTCATAAACTCTACCAGACCTTCTTGTGGCTTTCATGTTTTCTGTTTATTGTAACGTGGGGGTTCGATGTGTGGTGGTTGGATCAGTCTTTATGAGCAGAAACAGCAGGATGCAGATGGCTAACTTTCTCAAGCAGTACTTTACTGTTCTCCACATCAGGTTCACAACAACACTTCCTTGTTCTCTCATATGACTAAACTAACCAATCAGAAGCTAGAAAACATAGAAGGTAATTGTAAAGGAAATCACAAAAGTAGATTCAGCATAATATTGTTGCTGTTTTAAAGATACAAATGTAAAGATTTAAACATCAATATGTAAATATTAACAAACACAAATAATAAATAGTTAAGTTAGTGTGTAAACATTGTCAATATATTTTTGGTAACTCATCTTAAATATATGAATTAACTTAACAAGGAACCCAACAATAGATCCAAAAATTTGTTAAAATATTCTATCTTTTGCTGGGTAACCTCTACAACCCACTCACTCCCTGTTGGTCCCTGGAACCCAGTTTGAAAACCACTGTATTTTTATTTTGCACTCAATCAGCAGTCCATGGAATGTGAAAGAAGCCAAAACCAACAAATGTATTTCTTTGTTTTATTTTTAATACATTTCAGATACAACAGCTCTGCTTCGTATCACAAAACAAAAAAGGTTTGACCAGTTTAAACAAAGAAAGCCCGAGCCCGACACACTGATACAGGTGTAAGCTGGGCAATAACATCTTTGTACAATTATATTTCATTATCATAATAACATTTGACAATTTTAAGGAAAATTCAGTTTTTATACAACTCAGACTCAGGTAAACAGTTCCCTGGTTTGGATATCCCCAAAATTAACCTGAAATTTAGTTTATCTCTGAAATGTTAAGGAAACACCATCTCTCAGTCCCTCCAGGATTTCACAGGCTTTTTTTTTTGTGGCCTAAAATGCCTGATTTCATGGCAGCTTTTCAGAAAAATTGTGATGCATGTTGCGATGTTTTTAGGCGTCGTGTCACATATGTCTACATCTTCATGACTAGAAACCAAGACGGATGTGAAACTGAAATTGTGGGATCGCGCAGAATTCATGGGGATTGGTTTAATTTGTGTTAACTGTTGTGACCGCAACTTCCTGGAGGGACTGATCTATGCACAGTTTTGACTGGCTCAAAGGAGAGATTAATCAACACACTTGCAACTGTTAGCCTAGTTAGCATTTTGCAAATGTTCCAGAGCCTCTGTACCATGTCAATATAATGTATTAATTGACATGAAAGCATACATTTAGGTAGGAGTTTAACATGTACATGTTTTTAGTGATGTCCAACTCCCCCCAAAACATGTCTTTGGTGACAAGCCTTTTGGAACGTTTGTCATGTCATGTCATCACATTTAGAAATAACATTTATGTCAACAGAAACAGGAACATGTTTGCACTCATGGTCACTGGGCATCGCAGTAGGAGCAATCACACTTGTTTACGAACCAGCAAAAGCTTATTATAGTATGCAACCAAAATTCTTAAAAAGTTGTTGATGTCAGGTTGTTAAAAAAAGCAAATTTTCCTTTAAATGTATTACCCTGTGAGGAAACTTACAATGTGGCATAGTTGGTAAAATCAAGACCCTGCTAACAAAATGTAACCTAGCACCACACGCATATTTAAAACACAAAAATGCTCTCTGTAACTAAACTAAATCTAAAGGAGAGCAGTGCATATCAAACCAGATATTTTACATAATGATGCATATCAATCAACAAATTAAAAGTCTGACGCTCATTAGGTATCTATAGCAGTATTTTCCTGTGGCCTGTACAGACTTGTTAATAAAATTACTTACAGAACGAGGGCAAAACCAATAAAGGTGGCATTGAGGGAGATAAAAATGTGTCATCAGCGTATGTGATCACGTGACGGGTCGAGACAAAATAGTAAGCCAATAACACACAAGATTCAAAAGGAAAACCCCCAAATTAAATCTTATAAATTAAAATTTGCATTGACATGCCATATTTTCAAACTATACACGATAAACAAAGGATAAAAATACATTTACATTATTGCTTTACATTCAGTTATGGCTGGTTACGCTGATTATTTGCCAGAAAGACTTTTTTAGTGGCCTTTGGACCTTGATTCTTATATTGGTTTGGCAGATGGTAAAACAATAGTAATGATGTTATTGATTATATTATTCCCAATTGGTTTAGTGTTTAAATGCTGATGTTTTAGGTGGGACAGACGCAGCCTCAGCTTATGCTGGATGGCAATGAGATGATGGAAATAATATATCTCCCAGCAGTGTGTAGTCCAAAATTTTCCACAGATAACAAAAACATGTGCAAACACAAATGCACATCACACACACACGTCAATAGGTAGACACTGTGCTGCGACACAATATTTTCACCACTTCACCATACTTGACACTGCATAGTTTAATTTTTAATGAAATATTATCTATATTGCTCTGAATACTTTATTTTTGCAATATTGCTTTCATTTTGCTGGTTGACAATCTTTCTTGAGTTACCGTTTTGAAGCTTCAAGTTTGGCATTATGGTCATCGCCATGACGCATACCCTGCTTTATGGTCTATTTTACTCTAAATGGGACCATCATTTACTAAATGAACATCATGCTGTATGGAAGAAGACTGAAACTAGAGACTGAGACCAGAAACTGTTTACTGAGCTCACATATCCAAGTGAGAAGTTGGCTCATTCTCCATAAGACTGAATGGTATCAGTTTATATTGCAGCCAATGGAGCTGCCCCCTGCTGGTTGTTACATAGAATGCTGGTTTAAGACACTTCAGCACTGGATTCTCTCCATAGACCCGGAAACTCTGTCCATTATATATACTGTCAGTGGAGCGGTTCAACCAAAGAGTTGAATTTCTTTCTTGGCTTTATCTCATTCCAACCATTTCTAATCTGCTGCTGAGAATAGTCCCCAATTACTGCACTATTGACTGCTGTTAATTAAAAACTATAGTGAGCAGCTGTCTTTTTAAACATGAGACTCCTTTAGGTGGGCTTGGAGCTGAGAGCCACAGACAGGAAGTCTGAAACTATTAAGAGACAGAATAACACATTGTTGGTTTGTCCCAGTCTCTATAATAGATCCTCTGATCCACTACAGCAGTGGTTCTCAACCTTTTTGGTTCCGTAACTGTCTAAACTGTTGGTGTGTTTTTGGTTTTATCTGTGAACCGCATATACTGCTATATAAATAAAAGTATTATTATACATATCATATATTATTATTATTGTTATTGTTGTTATTATTATATATCTTATTTGGAAACTTCTAGCCAACAAAATATTTGTTAAATAAAAAATGTTTTAATAATATATATTATTTATATATATATATATATATATATATATAGTGTGTGTGTGTGTGTGTGTGTGTGTGTATATACATATAAATAATTTTCCGGGGGAGAACCACTGCACTAGAGGCATTTTCCTCCTAGTATGAAGGTATATCCTGGGACTAGTTTCCACTCCAGGAGCATGTGAAACCAAAATTCTACGCTGACAGGTATGTAACGTGACTTACGATCAATGGCGACCTTAGCCAGCTTTATTTTGAAAGTGTAACTTGACCACGGATTGAAAACTGGTTGAAAATGTGACATTGCTGTGACACAAATATAGAGACTAACACCAGACTCTTTCTGCTGCTCATCAGATTTTCAAAACTGTTTCTGTCTTCCTACAAATTCCAACTTAATGTTTGAGTTTTATTTTTTCTTTACTATGGTTACTTCCAAATGTTGAAAACGATAAATAATAAGATTTAATGGAGATCTGAAAGGATCCAGAGTGGATTAGTGGATTAGACTCTCACTGCTGCAGCCCTGAACTGCAGACAAACTTACTGCACTTTCCTGTCAGGGCCACCAGATGGTGCTACAGGCCAGCTGTTAAATTGGAATGAATCAGTATCTCTGTGTCTGATGCTGCAGACTGGTGGTACCAGCACAGACACTTTGGAGGAGAGGAGAGGCTGCTGGGAGGATGAAAGGCAGAAGGAGGAGAAATGAAATCATGGAGGATGAAACTATTTCTACTAACCAGAACTGATGAATGAATGACTGTCTGCTGTCCATTGTTGTACACTAGTTTTAGAGAGCTGCAAACTTCCTTCGTCTGGAAGTAATTTTCACTTTTAATTTGTATGTAAGACTTCAAGGGGAATACTACAGTACCCATGAGCCTCAGCAGGTTGTTGCTATGGAGAAGACTCTAGCCGGAGCCTTTAAATTGTGCTCCTCTTACCGATCTTGATCTTAAATCAAAATTTAAATCATATTCAATATCACTGCGAACTTGAAGGTGTTTGGCTTCTCTTATGAATCAGTCCGCTGTGTTTTCATTCACTTTTGCATATTCTACTTTATTAATTTTTGATCTAATGAACAAAAATGAATAAAATGTTAAAGATCACTTGTTGGTCTTTGCTCCAGTGGACTCAGAGAGAGAAAAAAAGCTTTTTTTCTCTCTTGGAGATTCAACACAAAGATAATTAAAGTTGCTGTAAGTGATCAATTGTTAAAACAAGTGTTAAATAGCTCTACATTCTGACAGCCATCACTGATATAATGTATACAGCAGTTACTAATGTGGGTGTCCGTTCCCACTTTATCCAATCAGGGGAGAGAACTCCACAAAGGGGGAGTGTGGTGACAGCTAACTGCAAGAACAGACAGAAAGTTCATTACAGCCCAGTTAATGTGATAAATCATCAGATAAAACTTGAGTCACCAGCCACACGTGAGTTCATTTTCAAATCTGGTGACATAATGACCACAGTCGATAATCAATCTGCCCGAGAAGCGACGTGAATATTGTTCGGGGACGTTAAAGATCTGCACTAACCTGAGTGATGCATTAACAGACATCAAGAAAAGACTAGCTGACCTCATTTAACCGGAACCAGAAAAAAACGTTACTGGTTGAATCAGCGGACGAATGATCCTGATCAATAACTGATGACGTTCTGTTTTTGTATATTTGGGATAAAAGGGCGGATGAGACCAAACCTGAAGTGATGAAGGTGTTGGACTTCTTCTGCTCTTTACGTGCCTGCAATCCACCAGAAAGTCCAAACATTAAGATTAAAAGATAAAAATGTCCAATAAAACAGGTGATTCCACCAGACACACGGCTGTGACCGCAGTGCGTTTCAGAAACGTCTCTCCGCTCTACTCAGAGCAGATTGAGCTGACAGGAAGTCAAACACAGTAACGACATAAACATTTTCAAAATAAAAACCCCTGTGTAGACCGCCGAATGTACATACAAAAAGGAAACTAAATAGCGTACTTACCAAATGTAGAAGCACATAAATCAAGGAATAATAGTGTCCAAATCAACCAAATCTGACAACGTAAACAAACTTTGGCAGGAAAAAACGCTTCTGAAACACTCCTGGGTGGCGTTCACAGCGTATTGTGGATGTGTCTAGTTGAATTTGGGTGTAAGTCTGTCCATAGAAAAGTTAAATAAATGCTGTATTTGTAGGATGTACCAGAGTAACAGAACAGGTATGAGTTAATTTCGTATTTCCTGCTTTTCAGAATATTAAGTATAGCACACATTGAAACATTGGAACTAAGTGCTGACTGGTCTTCTGGATACCCTTCTTAAATTTCCAAAGATATCAAATCTGTCAGATTGAATTCTGGAAACTTTTGGGTGTTCACAAATGTGTGTAAAATGATTGGCGAGAAGTTTTTTTATGGAACCATGCAGCTGTAAAAACACGGAGGAGATGATAGAGAAAAACTGAAGTTAAAATTTTTTGGAACATTTATATAGAAACATACAGATGAGGCATTCACTGTCAGGGCCAGCACAATTGTAAACTGCCATATTGGAGCTAACCTCTGAGGGTGAAGAGATCATTAGCTTGTTGCACCATCTGGTTTTATACAACCCTGCTCCTCAAAATCCGATCCTGCTAGCTAGCTTGGTGGGCTATTTGGCTGAATAGCACCAGCTTTCTTGTTACCAGTTCATCCAGTAGCTCCCCATCTAACCTCAGCCGGTCGCTGCGTCACCAAACCTCCAGACAAACCAGCTTCTCGAGGACACATAAATGAATTCTGGTGTGGGACTCAGACGTGACGTGAACTGTTAGAAGAAGAGCTGATGTCTTTTCAGTGTGAATACCAAAGGAGTCTTTTAATGTCAGAGCTGAATCTGATCCAGATCCAGGACGTGTGGAGGGAGACCACCTGACTCCTCACTCCAAACCCATGAAAGGAGGAGGTGAAGAAGGAGTTCAGATCTCTCCGTTTTTGTGGGCTCGGCTGTCCAGGAAAAGTGCAGCGGCAGCGTGAGTCGTCCTCCGGTTCTCCACGGCCACAGAAACCGGGTTCGGTCCAACCGAATCTGGCAGGGGGGTCGACGGTTAGTCGCTGCCGGTCTGCAGAGTGAGTTCGAGGTCGGCACCAAACAGCTCCTTGTAAAGAGGAGGGAAGTGTGTCCCAACGATGTCGGGGTAAACCGCTCTGAATGCTGACAGCTTCTCTGTGTGCCGACTGCACAGTGAACGCAATGCTGACACCTTACATCTGAGCTGAGGAGAGGAAAAGGAGTGGAGTGGAGAGGAGACAGTATAAGGAAACAGGGAGACTTAGAGTTGTAGATGTTGTAGTTCAGCATTTTGCCACAAGAAGGCAGTGTGAGACTGTTTTCAAACAGCTTGTAATTAACAGAGGTGATCAATAGTTTTATTATTATGCAGCGTGTTAATTTATGATCTATATCACTGGATTTATTTAGAACTCAATATACCTCATTATTAATGTGGTGTTGAACATTCATAAAACATATATTTGTACCAAACTTCTAACAGTACAAACATTTTACTAAAAGTAACAACTGGTAAAACACTGAACCTGTTTGTTTCTATGAGTGACGGACCTGAACGGAACAGTTTGGGGTTTCTGCAGGTTTCAACAGGTTATGAATGTATTTCTAGACCGGTTTTAGGTCCATGCATAGAGAAATAAAAACCCAGAAGATATGAAAAAAACTGGTATTGGGTCCATGTCAGTTTCATTTTGTTGTCTATGAGATTATAAACATTAATTTATCAGCAAACAGGTATTCTCTATATACAGACACAGAGTCACATGGTGTCTCTCTCCCTCTGCCTGTGTTGTATCGCAGCCTCTCTGTGGTTTGTTTCCATTGCCGGTCTGCTCCGACTGAAACTGCTGTTTTTATCATCTATGTCGGTGAATTAAGGATTTATTTCCACCAAACCAGAGTTGGTGAGTTTTATTCTGTTTCTGTCCACTTTGGATCAAGTTACGACGATCTGAAGGTAAAATGAATGTCTGAGAGAGTATTGTCTCTGGAGTCTGGTGGAGAGTGATAGTGATATTACTGTCCCGTTGTTTTGGTCTAAGATGCTGGTGCTCGAGTGCGATGTCCAAGAATTGCACTTATATAACTTAAATTTAAAATAAGTTTGTGGTTACTGTAGTGTGTGTGTGTGTGTGTGTGTGTGTGTGTGTGTGTGTACCTTGTTCAGCAGTCCGTCCTCTCTCTGGTTCTTCTGCAGAACGTGTTGCAGAGCCAGCTGAGTTTTCTGCTGCAGCTTCTCCACCTGCAGCTTCTCCTGCAGCCACGACCGGTCTGCAGCACGCACACACACACACACACACACACACACACACACACACACACACTATCAGCTGATCAGATCACAGAGAGGATCAATGTTCTGATGTTAAATAACGTGAAGAGGCGTACCTGCAGAGAGTAGAACGAACGCTGAGAACAGAGCGAGCTCGTCCTCCGACAGATGCAGCGAGCACATGCTTTTAGCAAAGTCGAACACTGACGTGATCAAATCATCACAACCTGGTGACACACACACACACACACAATAAAACTGATTGCAGAGGGCGGAAGAAGCACTCAGATCTTGTATTGAAGTAATACCACCAAAAATACTTTCTTACAAGTAAATTTAATGAGTAAAAATATCCAGTAAATATAATATATATACCGTATCTTGATAAGACACAGCATGAGAACAATATTAAAATTTCCCTCTAATCTTAAACTAAGCTCATCGTTTGTCTGCAGGAAGGGAGGGGAGACGTTATTTTGGGCCTTCGTCTGTGACAGGGTGTGAGGAAGAGGAGGAGAAAGTGTCACCTAATGCTTTGAAGACGTCAGGACCTGCGAATTTCCCATCGAAGTAGACGGTGTTGTTCTGAGAGTCAAACATCCGACACATTCGCACAAAGACGACCTCCAGAGAGCCTGGCACAGAAAACACAGATGATTAACGTTGAAATCCAATAATGTCAAATCTAATGATAATTTAATGACCCACTGCTCACTATCTATTCATTTGATTAATCAGTCATTATACTAACTAAAGCACTTCAAACAAGATGGGTTCACATTTCTACTGAATACTAAAGACACATTTTATAATAGAAAACTAATATTTTGTATTTGAAATAAAGTGTCTTTAAATGAAATGTAAGAGCATGGGAGGACGAGGTAGTTAACAAGTTAGCTAATCGCTAGCTAATGTTAGCGTGACAACATGATAGCATCCTCTAAAGACGCTATCCCTTTAACTTACTAACTCGATTTAATGAAAATGAGGTCAGAGCGTCTGGATAACTAAATAACTTGACACTGGTGATGGAAAATCAAAAGCTGCTCAGGTTAAAGACTAATATGCTGGTAACCAAATAAGTTTTCAGTTACAATAATCAAACATTCATACAATACATACATTTTTTGCATCAGTTACCTATTAATATGAAAATATTCTATATTTTCTTTTATTGTCAATAAATTCCATTAGAAATCCAAAAACCAACAATGTGTTAGTCCGTCTTCAGGCCCATTGCTTCCTACTGAAGACTTTAATCTTTAAAATCTCCCATTAGCTAGTTTCACTTCACTAAAAAATATACCATCATTTTTTTTAAGCAAACTGGAAGAAATAACACAATAGGCACACAACCTGCAGTTCCTCTAACGGCCACTAGAGGCTGGCTCCAGCAGTGAGTCAGTCTCCATAAGGCCCCATATTAAAATTACTTTACAGCAGAAATTAACATGTTTACAGCCGTTTGGTCTCTAGAGATAATTTCCTCCTTCAGGACAACTGTACAACTCACTGCTTTAAATTATATTTAAGTACATTAAGAGTGTGGTTTAGTGACTGTTTTCATTAAAAAGGCTTCATTCATTTGAAAGAAGAAATACCCGGCTTTGTTACACAATACTTGTCTGTAGACACATTCATTGTTGGTTTGGGTCTTTTCATTTGTTGACAAGAATACAAAGATTGAATAGCAGCAGATGTTTGGATGCGTGGTGGTCCCTCTCACCCGCTTTCAGCAGCACGATCTGGTCATTTTGACAGAGATCCATGAAGCCGTCAATACGTTTGGCGAACTCCACCACATACTGTATGGCCTCAGTGATCTTTACGGCACAGAGCTGCCACATCACCTCCCGCGGCTGCACAGAGCAGAGTGGGAGGATATTAAAACAGAAAATACACCTGAAGTGAATAATGACAGTGTCTGGGAAATGTGATTGGCAGGACTTAAAATGTACGATTAAAAAACACACTAGAAGTACAGAGGTTGTTGTTGGAGAGTCTAATAGTGCCACAGAATCCCCCAGAAGGTAAAGAAGGTGAACACACCTTGCTCTGGTAGCTCTCCACCTCGTCCTGCAGGAAGTTCTGCCAGCTCATTTGCTGCAGCTCCTCCCTCAGGTACTGACACGTCTCCAGGTGAGACTTTGAGATGATCTGAGCCTGGTGATCTGCGATAAAACACAGGACGGTGATCATGGCTGGATCAACGCACGAGGTCACAGAAAGTCAACACTACCAAGGATGTGATCTTAAAGGTTTAAAATTACATTTTCCCTTTCACCTGGACTGGAAATGCCAGCGAGTGAACCATTATATTGTATCCAATTCACACTATTAATCACATATTTTATGCTGTTGCAAATCAGTGAATCCCTGCTACGAGATACACAACGGCCAGGAGTCGAGACCTGGAGAGGTTTTGGTTTGTGATGCTTTAAATATCCAGTGCGTTGTGAATCTTTATACTGTATGAAACTGTGTCAACTAAATGTTTGCCCCTCAGATAAGAAACAGTAAGGATTGTTCTGTGCTGCCGCTAATTGTGCCAGCACCAATGAATGAATACGAAACAACGAGGTACAAAAATACAGTCAGCTGATACAGATTCTGGATCAGGGGTTGGGGGGTCGGGGTTGGAGGGGTTTCATGATAAATGCTTTTGTCAAAGAAAAAAAATAATCAGAGAATAAAAAAAAATCTCCAGGGAGAATAAAGAGATGATTTCCCCCTTCGAGTGCCCTGCCACGTCCCACTTGGCCCTAATTAACAGACAGCTAATTACCACACAGAGATTTTAATGAGGTCTGAAGATGAGTTTCCAACCTCCTGCTATTTTAAACCACCTTTCTGCCTCTGTTTGCCCCACAGTTCCCTCGCTTTCTTTTGTCTCTAAGTCTTCTTTGTGGTTTCTTATTCCTCCGTCTCTTCTTCTTCTCTCTGCTTCACTTCTTTCTACATATTTCCTCATCTTCACGCTGTTTGTTTTCCCCTCCAGCTCTCGGCAACCTTCTGCTGTTTGGTGAAAGCTCAGAGAAGTTTCAGAGGAGAGTTTGTATTCATTGCAGGAGGTCACAGTGGGAGTCTGTTAACTGCTGTAAACCTCCGACCTCCGACCTCCGACCTGCACTCCTGAGATTGAGACTGTCACGTTTAATCCTGAATGTAGCGAGATAGCCTGCTAGCCTCATGTTCTCTTCACCGAAACACCTTCAGGGTTTAGTTTTGCATCTGAATGCAGTTTCCTGCTGTTTTAAATTACATTCAATGACAATTGAACTGATCTTCATACCTAAAGTAACTTAAAGGACATAACGCTAGTAACATATTATCACCTTGTTGCTGCTGTTTCCATTCAACCAGACGCAAATTCAAAAGATTCACCAAGCCACAAAGCCACCTCCTGCTTATCTCATGAAGCAACTCCTAATAATCACATAACAGTCGAGGATGTAAACAAGCACATTTTCTTAATATGTGTGATACGTTTTGATGGAAACATGCACAAAGAGGGACCCAGAGACAGAAAGTCTTCCCTAATTTGGGACATCCTAAGTAAAAAGACACTGATGTTATAATCACATCGTTTTGTCGGGGCACCTAGCCAAATTAGTTTTTTAAAAGTTAGGAGGACTCATGTCCTCCCTGGCTCCTCCTCCTCTACCTCTACTTCCTCCATCTCACCGAGTTCAGCCATGGACACGGTGGGCGATGTGTCTCCGTTGCTGAAGGAGCAGTACGGGAAGAAGCCGTTACCGGAACTGTAGTCGCACAGCGGCTCCGGTTTGATGCCATTAATGTCGAGCCCGGACTGGTCTGGGGACGGCTGGAAGTCCAGGTAGAACCCACCTCCTCCTCCTCCTTCTCCTCCGCCTCCTCCAGAGTCTGCCTGTTTGGGGAAGAGATTGCTGTTGGTAATTCAGTCCATTATAAGGTGAAATTCTGAAAGGTAGAAAACCACAGACCTTGGACGATTCAGATCCTCCCTCAGGAGAGTTTGGTTCCATGTAGCTTCCCAGCTCATCCGGCAACTCCGTGAGGCCCGTGGAGGAGAGGCCGTAGTGAGGGGACAGCGGCTCAGACTCGCCCGGGCTCGGGCTGCCGATGCTGGGTTGGGAGAGGAGGAGGGGACCCTGCTGCTGCTGCTGCTGCTGCTGCTGCTGGAGGCGGTGCTTCTGAACCTCAGCGTACAGACTGTCCCGCTGCTTCTTCGACATGCGGCCAAACTTCACAGCTGTGTTTGAGGTAGAGGAGAGAAGTTAGCAAGGAAATTTAATTATTTTACAGTTGTTCTGTGTATGAATGTGAACAGCATCAATATTTAGCTTTAGCCTCAGTCTGTTAGTATGACATCATAACCTTTTATAATGCGCTTTTTATGTGACTTTAATTAAATGTATCCTTGTGATTTATTTAAATGCTTTATTATTTTTAAATGTATGTTCTTTTATTTTATTTCAGCACACACTGCTCAATCAATGTCTCTGATTGTTGGTCGTTTCTGTTTACATCATTTTATTTTTTTAATAACTTTTAGGGTTTTTTAAAAATGTATTATTTATTATTATTACTGATATTACAGCGTCATAATTTGACAAAGTATTTGACGACTTCAGAGATAGAGCAGGTAACTGCATAACTCTTTTTTTCGTGATCAAATTTCTGCAATTGCTGTATTTAATTTGAAATAAAATGTACTAAAGAGACTTTACGGCCTAATACTATCTGATATGAGACGGCCACACAGCAAACATAAAGGGGTTGCACCTGCATCCAGCTGACCTTAAATAAACCATTATTCACTGAACATGAACACAGACAACATGTTGCAGACTGTTTTGCTGCTGGTCTGTCTGCAGGATAACATCTTGCAAAATGCTGACCGCCAGATGTTCCTGCAGGTGAGAGAGTGTTCATTGGTTTGTTATTTGCATGCACCTGCGTGTGTGCTAGGTGTGCGTGTCTCACCGTCTCGGGACATGCCCACAGCCAGACATTTCTGCAGACGGCAGTGCTGGCAGCGGTTGCGGCTCGTTCGGTCGATCAGACAGTTTTTCTGGCGAGGACACGAATAGGCGGCGTTACTCTGCTGACTCCTTCTGAAGAACCCCTGAGAGAGGAGGGAACAGGTACATCTGAGGACAGCTCATTTCATGTTCAGGTTGACATTTAGAATATCTGACGCCCCCAAACCAACCTTCCCCTGTATCCAAAAAAACAGAAAAGAAAAAATTACCTGTTTTCCTTTAGAAAAAAGAAAAAATAATAATAATTTGTTTTGAAAATAAAAATACTCGTTCCCTTATTTATCAACTAACAAGTAGTCTGTTGTCAATATAACAGTAATAACAAATTATTAAATATAATATATAAAATATTAAAATAAAAATAAAATTGATAAAACTGTAAACGTGTGTGTGTATGTATGTATATATATATATATATATATATATATATATATATATATATATATTACAAAACAACAACAACAAAAAAACAACTGAAACAATCAATTATTTTATACATTTATCTGAGTTTCCACTGGTTGTCCTCAGTTCGTGGCATGAGGAGACATATTTTGCTGCAATAATTTGACTTTTGGGCATTTCTCCCAGTAAATAAGGGAGTTTCTGTGTGTCTGATATAAATTCCAATTCGGGGTATATTTGGGAAATGTTTGCGAATTGTTTTTCTCTTAAAGTTTTGAATTTAGGGCATGAGGTTAGAAAGTGCAGCTCTGTCTCTACCTGTCCTCTGTCACACTGGGAGCAGAGTCTCTCCTCTTCTGGTAGCCAGTTCTGTCTGTGGCGACCCGTTTCTATGGCCAGGCTGTGTTCACTCAGTCTGTACATTGTCAACATTGTTCTTAGTTCAGGACATTTTATTGTGATCAGGTAATTCTCTCTCTCTCTCTCTCTCTCTCTCTCTCTGTCTGTCTGTTCTCTCTTGCCTCTCTCTCTCTCTCTCTCTCCCTGTCTCTCTCTCTCTCTCTCTCTCTCTCTCTCCTTCTCTGTCTGTCTCTCTCTCTCTCTCTCTCTCTCCCTGTCTCTGTCTGTCTGTCTCTCTCTTGCTCTCTCCCTGTCTCTCTCTCTCTCTGTCTCCCGCTCTCTCCCTCTCTCTCTCTCTGTCTGTGTGTCTGTCTGTCTGTCTCTCTCTGTCTCCCGCTCTGTCTCTCTCTCCCTGTCTCTCTCTCTCTCTCCCTGTCTGTCTGTCTGTCTGTCTCTCTGTCTCCCGTCTCTCTCCCTCTCTTCTCTTCTCTCTCTGTCTGTCTGTCTGTCTGTCCTGTCTCTCTCTGTCTCTCTCTCTCTCTCCCTGTCTGTCTGTCTGTCTGTCTCTCTGTCTCCCTGTCTCTCTCTCTGTCTCTCTCTGTCTCTCTCTCTCTCTCTCCTCTCTCTCTCTCTCTCTCTCTCTCCCTCTCTCTCTCTCTCTCTCTCTCCCTGTCTCTGTCTGTCTGTCTGTCTCTCTCTCGTTTTCACAGATAAATCTCCCTCTCCTGCTCGTTAGCAGTGACATTAGCCTCCAGCTGCTAACAGCAGCTGCACACTGTATTTGTTTCGGGAACCGTTGTAACCAGAAGGTTTTCTGTGCCAAACGTTAGCGACTGACGGTCCAAACTAAACGTCAGATGTTTTCTCTGATTCCATTAATGAGACTCAGATGGTGGACGGACCACAGGAGACATCAGCTCACCTTGCAGCCCTCGCAGGTGATCACCCCGTAGTGGATCCCTGATGATTTATCTCCACAGATCTTACAGGGAATGATTTCAATCTGAGCTGCAGACACACACAGAGAGAATAAAGTGTAAAGATCACACACTCAACATCATCTGTCAGCAGCTGCATCAGCAACAGTCATAGCAATGGCTACAGGAAGATGATTTAACCAGTTCTGTTTATTTAAAGACACTTCATTAATACAACGCTTAATACAAAGAGGTTTCAGGAATACAGTCATCTATCATGGTTCAATGTACACACACCTGGAGGAGAGCGGCAACACAACAATAATGTGCACTTCAGCCCAAACAATAAATCAATAACAATAATAATATTGACAGTAACAATGTGCAATAATTACTGTGCAGTACCATTTCATATTCACTGTGCAATCTATTGCCCATGTGCAACTGCTGCTACTATTTGTGTTATCTGTTGTTTGTGGATTCTTACTGGTTTTTTTCTCTTGTACATAGTGTTTTTATTTTATTTATTATTTCCCTACTCTTACTGTTTTTTATACAGTTGTTTCTCTATCCACTTTGCTGCTGCAACATTGGAATTTCCCCATTGTGGGACAAATAAAGGAATATATTATCTTACCTTAAACACAGACTGCTAGAGCAAGCTGTCACATTGATTTCAATCTGTAAAGATCTATACAAATTCAAACCTCAATCTGTAAGCACATTTAGTTTTAAACTAACTAATGATTACTGAGCCTCTAGTGTCGACTTTACACCATAACTTAGATAACATAGTTGCTACAACCCAGTACAGCCTCTGAAATGTACTCAGAGTATAAAAGTTCCATCTTGTTAAAGTCTGTCATGTGTAAAACGTATTAACAGCAAGAGTAATTCACAAGAACCATTTCACACAGGTCATAATATGAACGTACAGTATCACAGCTGGATGTGAACGCTAATAGACGTAAAAATAAAGTCACTAAGATCAGAATTTCAGAAATAAATACATTTTCTTGATAAATGATTATTATATATTATTTTACCAGAAAAACACAAATGTATTCTAAGATAACTGCCCCAAATGTGGGCGGGGCTAACTGGAGGTAGTTTATTTAAGGCTGAAACTGATATTAGTTGATCCAAAGTTGTTATATTTTATAAGTTATTGGAAAACTTTTTACATATCAGCCTCAGAATTGAGCTTCAGAATGTTTTGATTGGTATATTTACTAATCCGGATACATTTTACTAATTTAATATTCATAAGAAATACATTATCTGTACCGGTTACAGCCGAGTACACGCTCAACCCCAGTTGAAAACATTAAATTATTCATTTTTTTAAAGATGCCAATAAAGACTTTGTATCTGTTCAAGTACTAATGATATGTATTTGAATTATTTATGTTTAATATATGTTTTGGATTGTATGTTTTAATTATTAATTTTATTTTTGGATTATATGTTGTAAGTGTGTTGTGAAAAGTGATAAATAAAGTAGTAAAGTATTGACAATAAAACACCACACAAAGGAATTGATTATAATAAAATAGTAAAATGTTGTGTTATATGCACTTTGATGTAGGAAAGGTGTGCAATGACGCAAAAAGCTAAAAAATAATCAATAATTGTTTGCAGATGCATTAAACTAAAGCTTGTTTTGAAAAAGTGAGAAGTAGAAAGTGTGAAAATGTAGGAGTCAAAAGTAAAAAGTTGTAAAGTAAAGTAAAATCCAGATACCTGGAAATAATACTTGTATTACAAACAAGGTATTTGTACTTCATTACTTCCCACCACTGTTTCCAGTTCAGGACTGAAGGATCTCATCTTTCACAGTTTGGCGACAGTTTATCAGACTGACTGTGTATTTATACACTCAGCAGTTTGTAACAGTGTGACAGCTCGGCTCTGAGACGCTATATTTAGCACAGGGAAGTTATGTAAGTGAGCAGCCACATGACACACACACACACACACACACACACACACACACACACACATTAAAAACAAGAGTGTTGAGACGCAGAGTGAAGAAAGGATCGTCTGCCAGCTGTTTGTCTGCAGCACAAACTGGGTTATAAATCTGCTCCTGGATCCGATTTAGTTTGTTCATTTATTAAAATGAAAACACGTTTTAAAATTGAAAAAAGACAACAAGACAAAACACTCACTAATGTTGGATTTAAACCACCTCAAATATGTACTTCAAACTTTTATTTTGGAATAAAAAAAATGATAAAGTTTGATTTTATCTTGAAAATAAGGAAAATAATAATAAACAAAATGTGATTATTTAAGTCAATTTAATCATGTCAATAGATTAATTAAAACCCAGGTTCCTGCTGTATGTCAACCAAGTGATTCCCACTTTCTAACTTTATGTGAACCTCCCTCTCTCTCTTCCTGTCTGCCTCAGTGTCTCTCGCCCTCCCCCATGAGCAGGATTGACCAGCTGACCCAGAATAAAGATCTACATCAGTTGTTCTCAACCTTTTTTTTCTTAAGGGACCCCTTCTCTATCATTAGACACGCAACCCCTGACTAACTGACATATTTTATGGATATTTCATATTGTACCCAATTCAAAATACAACAACGCAAAATAAAAACCCCAGAATAAAACCGGAGACCAGTGTAGAGTTATAGTCCACTGTTGGTAACATACACCTGAGTGTGTGTGTGTGTGTGTGTGTGTGTGTGTGTGTCACAGGACGTCTCAGCATTAACTGTCCAATCCCTATTCACCACAGATCAACAGTTCTGTCACAAAATATCCGTTTAAAAAAACCTTTACACGCTGATATTTTCAGATGACGCTGTGGGCCGCACGGACAGCGTGACAGTTTGTGCTTGTTACCGTGGCAACGTGCACAGGATGAAGGGAGAGTAGCGTCTGTGGTTAGTGTGAGTACAAACATCGCTTTAGTGGGAACAAGACGTTCATCTGTGACCACAAAAACAAGTTGTTTATGATTCACAGGAGTTTAACAGTGAAACTAGAAATGATTAAATGATGACAGACAGAAGACATGTGATGTGTTAAGCCTCATTAACACATCACATGTCTTTTATTAGTTATATAATTCTGTACAATGGCTTCATGGAGCACAGTTAGCGGTTTGTGTTTGCTGTGTATGAACCTATCGTGATATCTAAACAGCACTGCCTAGTTTGACAGTTTGATCTGAGTTTGGTGCGTTGAGCTGGACGGACTCACTGAGAATGAGCTGTCAATCACAAGGTAGCCCCGCCCTAAAGCATACCCTGCTTTATGGTCTGTTTTACTCTAAATGGGACCATCAGTTACTAAATGAACATCATGCTGTATGGAAGAAGACTGAAACTAGAGACTGAGACCAGAAACTCATCAGGAAACTGTTTACTGAGCTCATAAATCAACTGAGAAGTCGTCTCATTTCTCCATAAGACTGAATGGTATTAGTTTATATTGCAGCCAGTGGAGCTGCCCCCTGCTGGCCATTACACAGAATGCAGGTTTAAGACACACACACAGACCCAGAAGCTCTGTCCGTTATATAAACTGTCAATGTTCACAACCAGTAAACATTAATCTGATGATCAGACTGATCAGGAGTGAGAGCAGGACAGCACTGCTCTCACTCCTGATTAAATATGCGACATCCGGTTAGGCCACCAAAACTACTTGGTTAGGAAAAGACCAGAACTTGTGTAACGCATCTGACGTAACTTACCTACGTTACTTTACTTTCACACAGCTCCTGAACGCAGTTTGTTGTTTTTGTTAAATGGTTAAGTCCACTATTATGAGGCAGCCCTACTAATAACAATCAATCAATTTTCTCTTAACAGAAAATTAGGGATTTTTTTATTAGGGATTATTGAAGAGAACGTTGCTGCGTGAGGCCCAAAGTGAAGTGAAGCATACTGATGATAAACAGAGGAACATATTTCAGGTATGGTAGATATTTTGGTATTAATAAATGTTTTAAAGTCAACAACAACACACAGACACAGACACAGACACACACACACACACACACACACACACACACACTGAGGTGTCTGTGCTGCAGTTTCCTCTCCGCAGTAATTAGCTTTCTGAGTGTTAATCCCTCCTGAATTCTACATTTCAACATCAAAGACGACGTTCAACAAAGCCACCGCCTGAAATTAGAGCTGATGTGAGAACAGCAGATATTTATACACGCAGCCAGCTGCAAACACAAACATCTGCTTTGTTTCCGTGAGCCCCCCCTCAGGCTCGCCACCGAGGCTACTGAGGCTTCTCACGTCTCTTCTTCTTCTGGCCGACACGGAAAACAAACGAGTTACTAGGAGAAGAGGACAGGAAGTGTGTGTGATAACAGAACGGTGATTGAGGTTTAAAAAAAAGCATCTTCCATCATTCTTTGTGATAATGAAGCAGCTGAGGTGTAAAGATTTTAAAAGATTGTAAGATTTTAAATCAGTAATGTTCATATAAAAATATGCGCTCCAACTTAAATTCTTCTCTTTTATATCAACCTCTTGTTTTATTGTCTGTTCTTCATGTAGAATTTCTTTATGTAATATTGATTATAATGTTCTATTTTAATGTAGAACAGTGTTTTTTATTTGTTATTTATTTGTTGAGTTGTAACCGATCGAGCTTTTGCACATTTACAAATCTGATTGCGCGCACACGGATTCTGAACACACATTTGCAGATTCCTGTACACATTCACAAATCTCAGTACATGTTCACAGATTCTTTTACACAAATCTGATCTGAAATGACATTGATTGGCTGCCTGGTAACCATGGTAACCAATGTCGATGCCCGTTCTAGAAGAATATAAAAACCAATACCCATTTTTTGAACAAGCTCGCTTCATTTTTAAGGAACAAACAGACTCTGCAGTTGTCCTTCCGTTGTATGTTAGCCATGTTAGCTGCCTCATTGCTTTGTGTGCCAATTACAGACCACATTTGCTCTGATGTTTTTTGTGTTTTTTTGTCCTTCTTCACTCCCAATGCCATACTGTAAGTCCCCCATAAAGTCACCAGTTAACCGGGTCGCTCATTAAACCGAAACACTGGCGAGCCACAGGACGCAAATGCCACAGT